ATAGGAAAGCATCACATCATGGTCATATATTAGAACCTGCATCACATAACATCACATATAGGGCATCGTCATATCACATCACCTATCCTCGGGGGGCGGAGCTACGTCACAGACGTTCTACGTTGCTAAGACGCGCATCACTGTACCACGTATTTCTATGGGCTTTGTGCGCGCTGCTGTGGAACGCCGGTGGAGCCGGTGAAAACTCGAGAAAACAACACAAACTCAGCTTTGAAGTAATCCTGAACAACCAAATTCATATATGTTACACACGTAGGGCTAATCTTATTACACTGTTCAGGGGACTCATAACAACCTTCGCAAAGTACCGTTTTCTGCGAGTTTTTGGTCTTTGTTTTCACCGCGAGGGTTGCCAGGCGGTAGAAAATGCCCGGATGTCCGCCCCCGAGGATAGGACTGCATCACATAACATCACATATAGGACATCGTCATATCACATCACCTATAGGACTGCATCACATAGTACCACATATAGGACATCGTCATATCACATCACCTATAGGACTGCATCACATAACATCACATATAGGACATCGTCATATTACATCACCTATAGGACTGCATCACATAACATCACATATAGGACATCGTTATATCACATCACCTATAGGACTGCATCACATAGCATCACATATAGGACATCGTTATATCACATCTCCTATAGGACTGCATCACATAACATCACATATAGGACATCGTCATATCACATCACCTATAGAACTGCATCACATAACATCACATATAGGACATCGTCATATTACATCACCTATAGGACTGCATCACATAACATCACATATAGGACATCGTTATATCACGTCACCTATAGAACTGCATCACATAACATCACATATAGGACATCGTCATATCACATCACCTATAGGACTGCATCACATAACATCACATATAGGACATCGTTATATCACATCACCTATAGGACTGCATCACATAACATCACATATAGGACATCGTCATATCACATCACCTATAGGACTGCATCACATAGCATCACATATAGGACATCGTCATATCACATCACCTATAGGACTGCATCACATAACATCACATATAGGACATCGTCATATCACATCACCTATAGGAATGCACCACATATATGACATCGTCATATCACATCACCTATAGAACTGCATCACATAACATCACATATAGGACATCGTCATATCACATCACCTATAGGACTGCATCACATAGCATCACATATAGGACATCGTCATATCACATCACCTATAGGACTGCATCACATAACATCACATATAGGACATCGTCATATCACATCACCTATAGGAATGCATCACATATAGGACATCGTCATATCACATCACCTATAGGACTGCATCACATAGCATCACATATAGGACATCGTCATATCACATCACCTATAGAACTGCATCACATAACATCACATATAGGACATCGTCATATCACATCACCTATAGGACTGCATCACATAACATCACATATAGGACATCGTCATATTACATCACCTATAGGACTGCATCACATAACATCACATATAGGACATCGTCATATTACATCACCTATAGAACTGCATCACATAACATCACATATAGGACATCGTTATATCACGTCACCTATAGGACTGCATCACATAACATCACATATAGGACATCGTCATATCACATCACCTATAGAACTGCATCACATAACATCACATATAGGACATCGTCATATCACATCACCTATAGGACTGCATCACATAACATCACATATAGGACATCGTCATATCACATCACCTATAGTACTGCATCACATAACATCACTCATATTTGTTCTTAAATGTTCGTTTTGTTTTTTTCTTTTGTTTATACAACCATAAAAACGTCTGTAGTATGTTTTTCGTGTTGTATAAAAATTATTATTATTATATAGCCTGAGGAGATCGTCACATCACATCACCTATATGACTGCATCACATATAGTATGGTGGATTATATATGGTTTACTTGTATTCTTGTATGACCTGTAATAAACCTTTCACTGTAATAGCTTTGGAGTTCGTGCGTGAGGAATTTAGAATTTGTAACCAAAACAAATCATGATGATTTTGTTTTTCTTACGGTGATCGCTGTTACAGCAATGAGTGTGATTTGTTCTGCATATAATGCAAAGTTGGAATTTAGCTGGATATTTAATTTCAAAGCGTTGTCATGAGGGTAATTGTTGTTTTGTAGTTTATCTCAACTATACTGTACATTCTAAGACTGTTATCATGGCAACGCAAATTATTCAGTTAATATATTCAATATCAGATCCGTACTGATGATTGACCAAATAATAGTGACTCTCTGCTTTGAATAGAAGATTGTTTTGCAGCTCCTATTTTTTTAAAGTATACCCTAACTTCCC